CTCCGCGCGCGCCGCGCGTGCCGCGCGCGCCGCGCCCGCCCCAGCGGCGTGCCGAGGCACAGCAGCAGCCCCGCGGCCCACCTCGGGGCCGTGCCCCCGCCTCCGCCTCCGCCTCCGCCACCGCCTCCGCCTCCTCCCATCCTCCTCCTCCCTCTCCATCTCCTCCTCCGCCTCCTCCTCCTCTCCTCTCCTCCTCCGCCTCCTCCTCCTCCTCCTCCGCCTCTCCCCTCCTCCACCTCCTCCTCCTCCGCCTTCGCCTCCTCCTCCTCCGCCTCCTCCTCCTCCTCCTCCTCCCTCCTCCTCCTCCTCCCATCCTCCCTCTCCTCCTCCTCTCCTCCTTCCTCCTCCTCCTCCTCCTCCTCCTTCCTCCTCCTCTCCTCCTCCTCCTCCTCCTCCTTCCTCCTCCTCCTCCTCCTCCTCCTCCTCCTCCTCCACCTCCTCCTCCTCCTCACCCGCCACCGTGCCTGCGCAAAGCAGGCGTGTACTTGGGGTCGGTTGGGCCGCCCCTGATCCCGTGTTCGGTGGCAACTCCTGGGAGCCTCCCATGTACCACCTTGTCCGCTCCCGCGGATCGACGCCAGTCGACGCTAAATCGATGCTAATCGACGCTGAATCGACGCTAATCGACGCTAGCCGACACTAAATCGGCGCTGTCCCATCGACCCCCAGACGCTAGTCGACGCAAATCGACGCTAAAGACAGAACTACGTGCCTACACAAGGCTACCATGAGCAGGCGTGTGTTAGGGGTCGGCTACATCAAGGGCCCGACCACAAGACCTTCCACAAGGGAACCCCAGCCATGAGACCCCAGGACGTCCGTTGAGTTTATGTGCGCGAGCGTCGCGCTTTCCAGAGCAAGACTATCGAAACCCAAGACACCCTGGGCACCATGGAGGCAAGCAGGGTGCTTCTTGGCACGGGTCTCCACTGTAGGCCGCCCCTGATCCAGTGGTCCCTCTGGGATACATACACAGGCACCCTCCGACGAACGTTGCCTGTACGTACCTTCAGGGATGGCGGCGGTGTATCAAGCCGCTGGCCCGCAGTGGTGATCTATGCACCGCCACCCTCCCCTGTGGCCCAGGAACAATCCATTGGCGGAGTGCTCCATTGGGCAGGCGTCCCCGGCACCGGGTCGACAAATCGAATCGGATCGGCCCGAACATCGAGTCGGCAAAAATCTGCAAACATCGGCTGCGCCATCGAATCGGTAAGAATCGGCAACCCCAAACAGGATCGAATCGGAGACAAGCGCGTGAAGCCCGTTCGACATCCGAATCTCATCAACATCGATTACCGCGGGTTCGTGCCGTGTCTACCCCGGCGTTGGTTTCTGACACTGCGGGGATCGTTCAAGCTTGAACGATTCACGGTCGCCGGCGGCGTGCAACGTTTAACGCCAGCGGCGGGGTCGCCGTCGGTCGACACGACACAAACCTCCCGTGTCCTGAATCGACGGGAGGCGAGGGCAGGGTTCGGATTTCACTACGAGTTCGACGAATTCCCAACCTTAACCACGAGACACCTTTAGAACCCCCCCACACTAGGGGGTAACTAATGATTGTTCGGCGACCCTATTCACGGACTGGGGTCCCACCATTAGGCGCCAACTAATCATTATTTTCCGCGGCACCCGCCGCGCAACAACGACGACGACAGCTACGACTACCATCGCGACTACGACTGCCACGACTACCAGCACTGATGCCTCCCTCACTCAGGAGGAGGGAGAGCTCTTGGGACCAGTCCTATTCACCGCCGAGTGGACAGGGGGGAGGGGAACCAAAACTGGAGACTTCTCTCGGTTACCCTTACGTCGGGCGTGTCCCCCTACAGGAAGATTTTCGACGAAAAATAAAAAATACTCAAAACAAAAATTCAAAATATACCCCCAAAATAGTCCCCAGACTATTGTTGGACTATTTTTTCATGATTTGGGGTATTCTTTATCTTTCGTCGAAAATCCCCCTGTAGGGGGACACGCCCGACTTAAGGGTTACCCCCGCCGTCCGTTGACCACTGGCGAGGGCCGGGCGTCGGACACCGCCGGCGACGCGGAGTGGGGGGGGAGGCGCCCCCGGAGGGCGGGGGCCCTCCGACCGCGCACCGGGAGGAGCGAAGAGCGGCATCCGCAGAAATCGGGGCGCACAGGAACGTGCCGACTCTGTGTGTCCTCCCTGGAGTCAAGTCGGGCCTGTCCCCCTACAAAGGGATTTTCGACGAAAAATAGAAAATACCCCAAAAGTAATCAAACAACAAAAAATCCAAACATATTCTGGGGACTATGTGTGGGTTGTGTTTTGACCTTTTGGGTGCATTTTTGGTGTATTTTTTATTGTTCGTCGAAAATCCCCGCCCGACATAACCCTGGAGGCGGGCATCCGGCTGGAGCACACAGTAAAGCCATCCTGTGGCATGTCGTCGCCCGAGCGGTATGGCCAGAAAGCGCCCGCCGCGGAGCGCACACTGTGAGACTTCCCGGTGCGCGCGTCGCCCCTGGGGGGGTGGGGGGGCGACGCTCCCCTCGTAACAGCAAGTTCGGGTGACGCCGAGAAATGACGATCGAACAACACGTACCCATACCCATAGGGGGGGACGGAGGAGGCTATGGGTGCGTGTTGTCGGATGGCGGTCCCCGCTCGCACGGGAGCTTCCCCCAGGGTCCGACAACTCGCACCCATACCCATAGCCTCCTATGGGTATGGGTGTGAGTTGTTCGCTCGTCAAGAAATGTTTTGGAGCGGCGCTGGACCCCCCGGCGGCGCCTCTGGCGCCGCCCCTGGCGCGAGCCAAGAAAGCCGCGCGGAGCCTTCGGCGGTGGACAGACCTCCCTTTAGCAGGCCTCCCCTTCGCGAAGACGGCCTGGGACCGAAACCGACGGGCCTGCACCCGCAAAAACGACGCCCGCGGCGCCCTCTCGCGAGCCAAAAACGGCCAATTCCTCAATCGGCGCGTCAGGGTAGGAGGCCTATCCACCTCCGATGTGGTGTTGGGTCCTCGTTTTGGGGAAGCGGTCCCCGCGTCTCCTTCTCCGCCTACCATGCCCTCCTCCCCCTCCTCCCCCACCTCCCCCTCCTCCCTCCTCCGTGCGCCTCGCCCACCCAGGGAGCTCCACCGAGGAAGAGATTCACACTCGCGGTAGCCACAGCTGCATATGGTCGGGTCCTTCGCCAGTTCCTTCATCGGCGTGTCGGAGGAGGAGGAGGAGGAGGAGGAGGAGGAGGAGGAGGAGGAGGAGGAGGAGGAGGGGGGGGAAGGAGGAGGAGGAGGAGGAGGAGTGGCTGTAGGGAGGAGGAGTGGGGTGAGGAGGAGGAGGAGGAGGGGGAGGGGTCGAGGCCTATCCACCTCCGAGGCCTCCGAGAGAGCACCTTTCTGGTCCAGGAGGCCTCCCCGCGACGTGCGCGCGAAGCACGGCCGCTCCCGGCCTCCCGCGGGGCCCTCGCGGGGCCCCGGGGCTGCCGACGGAGCAGCCTCGGGACGAGGAGGAGGAGGAGGAGGAGGAGGAGGAGGAGGAAGAGGAGGGTGACGAGGGTGAGGAGGAGGAGGAGGAGGAGGAGGAGGAGAGGAGGGTGACGAGGAGGAGGAGGTGACGAGGAGGAGGAGGAGGAGGAGGAGAGGAGGAGGAGGAGGAGGGGGAGGAGGGGGAGAGGTCCACGCTGTGGGACAGTCCTCGCGTCGGGAGTCTGGGGCAAGGCCTCGCGTCGCGGGCCGGTGTGGCTCCAGGCGCCTCGGGGACAGATGCACGGCGCGGGATCGGCCAGCTGGCGAGCATCACTGCATCTTCGCCGCACCTCGGATGCTTACAGTGCCGTTCTTAATGCATAGGATTTGTTTTAAATTGCAGGATGTCTAATACATGATTAATTTACGAATAAATCAATGCATAAGTTCATCATTGTTTTTACCTAACAGCGAAGACTGATAGGTTTCTAGTAGGGTCAAAAGAGAGCATCATGACTCCCCAGGGGGGTCTGCGCGGGATCCGGGGAGATGCCAGGGCCTTGTTTAGCCAACAGTTACACACTTCGTGGTATTCGAGGTCCAAGAACTCCATTCCCGGGACACATTCTGAATGCCCGGAGCCAACTGTAGGCCACTTCGTGCTCTTCGAGTTCCCAGAACTCCATTCCCGAGCCACATTTTGAATGCCCGGAGCCAACTGTAGGCCACTTCGTGCTCTCCGAGTTCCAAGAACTCCATTCCCGGGCCACATTTTGAATGCTGAGGCAAGCTGATGCTGAGGATGAGGCAGGCTGAGGCTGAGGCAGGCTGAGGCTGAGGCCGAGGCTGAAGGCAGACTGAGGCTGAGGCTGAGGCAGGCTGAGGCTGAGGCTGAGGCAGGCTGAGGCTGAGACTGAGGCAGGCTGATGCTGAGGCAGAGGC